GGACCAAGACTGCCTTCCAAAAGAGTTTGGTCTGAAAACAGATCTCAATAGAGGTTACTTTTATTGCAAGAAGATTTACCGTGTGCAAAACCCCCTGTTTAATTGCCATCCTCTTCTTTGAGCAGAAGCCAGAGTACTAGGCAAAGGGCTGGCAGAACACTTGAAGGTTATAAAGCATAAACTTGTAAAGTAAAAGTATAAACTCATTTTTGTTTCTTGATGCAATTTGGAATCAAAGAAGGTTTGTTAGTGTATGATTAGTCATGATTATCTTCTGCAAGATGTTAAGTCATGCAGCTGTTCGGAAATTTTATTAAATCTGTTACTACAGTTCCTTTCTTTTTCTTTCTTTTTCCTTTTCTTTTTCTTCCTTTTGTCCTTCCCTGTTGGGCCAACTGCCAAAACTTAGGGTTCCCGAAGACTGATAAGAAAGCTTTTGCTTCTCTGCTCACTTCATCTGTGTGCAGTCCTTGACATAATGTTCTTTACACAGCTTCAGCAGAAAGACCTTTAGCCAGCAGTTAAATAGTGTATGATATTCAGTGCCTAAGGTAACAGTACAAGTTTAAACTCAAAATAGTAACTGAAGAAAAAAGGAATAGGTTAAATTGTAGGGTTTAAAAACGAAATACCATCCTCTATACATTCATTTTGAATTGTGTGAACTGGAGGTTTTTTACATGCCTTTTCAAGTGTGTGAGGTAAGTGTGTGTTAGAGGAAGGAGTAATCTAAACAAGATGTAGTATTTCTCCTACATGTTTCTAACTTGTTGCTTTACATCCATATAATACTTTATATGTTTGTATTTGTTACGTTTGCTAATTTAGTTAGTAAGTCTGTGTAAATTAGCAGGTTTCTAGTTAGAAGTTGAATTTATCATATTGTGATAGTTAACACGTCATGTGAGTATATTATATGCACATATGTGTGTGTATTACAGGCATGCGCACATCTCTCTATGTTTATTTCTTACTAATACCTGAAGAATCATGTCAAGATTTCAAACAGGTAGCTGTATCAAAGCAGAGAAGCTACTCAAAATGGAAAATCCACAGAAGGTTAGATGTGTCTCAGAGATTTAACCCAGAAAAGCCGCAAACCATACCACTTAGGAATGCTATCTTAGGAGATGGATACAGCAAGCCTGTATGAAATTTTTTTTGCTCACTACTTGAAAAGGCGATGATGAAAACAAACGCTGTGTGCTTCAAAAGCATTTCTTGTGGTACTTGAGGCATAACGGTTTGGAAGAACAGACTGCTTGTTAGATAGGTTTAAAATCTGCTGGACTGCCAGGCTTGAAGGCTCAACATCTAGTTGGTGGCAGGCAGTGAGTAGAGGATGAGGAAGCTGGGCGTGTTTAGTCTGGGGAAGAGAAGGCTATGGGGCAGTCTAGTAGCAGGCCCCCAATCGCCTGAGGAGCAGTTGCAGGGGTGACCAAGTTAAACTCTCCCTGGTAGTGGCACAGAGTGTAAAACCAAAACAAACTCTGAAACCCCCATGGCTAAAAATTGCAGCTTGAGAGGTTCAGATTGGACATTAGGAAAAACATCTTACCTAGGGAGACAGTACAGCACTGGAACAGGTTATCCCAAGGCCCTGTGGAGTTTCCATCCGCAGGGGTTTTTGAGAGTTGGCTAGAAAATGCCAACCCTCAAACGCGTGACCTGCTGTGATGTGAGCAGGAATAGTAACCCAAGCAGAAGCTGGGACTGGAGATCTCCAGAGGTCACTTCAAAGCAGCATTTGTATGATTTTGAGTGGCTTTGCCCTGATACCACTTTACATACAAATGATACCAGAGCTATTTGTCCTCAATTTTCTGCCAGTAACAGACCGTTTTCCAGCTTTTCCTTTGTACCCAGCCAAAGAGTTAAATTTCATTTTGACTGTTACATTCAGATAATAGCTAAGAAGTGCCTGGAGGCAACTGAACCAGAGACAGAGGACAGAAAGAGGTACCCCTGTATGCTTTGAGTTACTAGTTTTGAAAGTAGGCTTACTGCTTTTTGAAAGTCTGGTGAAAGAGGAAGAAATGGCAGGTTATGTTACATTTCAAAGAATTTCTTCTACAAAGTCTCGGTTTCTGTACATGTGTGGAGTGTTGTAAAAATTATATGGGACTGTTGTCAGGAAATCCTTTCGATTACTTTAATTAAAAAAACCTGCTTCCCTCCGAAGTTCTGTGGTAACGAACAAGTAGTTACTGTCATCTTTTGTTTCTGAGTTTTAAAGCAGAGGACTCACATGTACTGCAACTTTACTACATATCTGAAAAAGCTCTAATATTAATTGGTAAATATTTACAGTTGAAACTTTTCTTCTATTTGAATTTGGCTTTTTTTTTTTTTTTTTTTTAAGCAGCGATAGCCACAAGTGAGCTAATGCTGTTTCTGAAGGCCTAAAAGTTGATTTTCGTAATCAAGGGCTATTGAATGAAATGCACCAAATAATATATTAACAGTGCGTGATTAGCAGTACGCTCATCTTGTCCTGTTGTGAAATTAGTGTAGGTTTAGCAAAAAGTTTTAAAAATCAATTTTACCAGTACTGTGTGATCTCTTAAGTGAATCAGCCTTTAAGTGAATCTGTGCCGAGGCTGTTACTCCACCCGTGGTGCTCCTCTCTTCTTCTGCAGCTCCTTGTCTGTCTCCTGAACTGTATGTGATTTGTCTGAGTTTTACCCATGACCCTTGCTAAAATGTAGCGATTACGACGTACTAAGAAAGAGGTATTTGCTATATTTAAAAAGTGTCAGCGCTGATCTTTGTGAAATGTGTTGCGCCCATGGGGGAAGAGACCTACTTTGAAGTAGGCAGGAATGAGCTTGTCTAGTTGGTGGGTTTAATTTCAGTTTACAGTGGCATCTGCTGATCTGTTTGGTGATACCGTGGTTTTTCATCTGTGTTACCACGTCGGTGGAAGGGTTAGGCATTGCCGTGCCTTCAGAATGCCTGGAATCTTGTAATTTTCAGGGGCAGACTTTCTACATTGATAGATATATAAATCTGGTGATAGCATCTTGTACCACATCAAAGACGACTGCGGCGACTCGTTCTTCAACTTCAGGCTCTGTTAAGTGTGTGCTGTCCTTTCCTAATAAGCGTTACTGTGTCATATCACTGGGTCAGCTTAGGGTTTTTTCCCATCTAGTGTGCTCCGTTTCCAGGACTTTCTACTGCAGGTGATCTCAGTTGCCCATCTTCTGATGAAGCTTTTTACTGAAGATGCAAATACATTGTTTTGGTCCTTGCCTGTCCCCATTTCCCTTGCGTGGTATTGTTGCCCCCTGGCTGAGGCGGTGCCTTGCCTGCCTCAGTACTTGCCTAAACTGATTCTTCAGGGTTGTTCAATGCTGTCTGTACAGTAATAATCTTTTTTTTTTTCCTTCGTTTTTTGGGGAGGCAGAGTGGAGGTGATGGTTGTTAATGGAAAGGCAGACGGATCATGGCAGCAATGTATATAGCTTTGGAGTTACACAGCTGACCACTGTAAACCTGACTGAACTTGTTACTCCCTTCTAAAGTGTAACTAGGACTGATTTATCCCTAAAATAAAGCCAGGAATTGCAAAGTCATTCCACAAAGAATAGAGACTATAGTCTCATCTTAGCCACATTCAGGTAGCTGTGCTCTTCACACAACTTCCTCAAAAGAAATTTTCAGAACATGCATGAACTCAGTAGGAAAAGGCTAGCTTTTTGTGGTACAGTGGTACGATTTATGTAGAATGAATAAAAAGGTATATTGTGGCTTATCTGAAGACAAATAACAAGCTTCATTCTCCAGTGACAGCAATTACTTGCCTTTGTAGTCATACAAAATAATTCTTCTGTAAGAGAAGGAATTCCACTGTGCGAGAGCAAATATTTGAAGTGGAGCAAGCGTTGTGTGGGGGAATTTGATATGTTCATGGAACACTGTTTTGTGCTAAAGTAAATAGATATTTTTCCTTTACAAATGGAGGAGCTGAAGACCCCAGAGATGCTGCAACTTCTGTTCACTAAATTGCCATATGCCTTTTCTTTCCTTTGCCCCTTTTTATTGATTTCTCATTTGATATGCCTGGAATACTTACAGTCCTTACTTGCTGTTGTTATCATTGTCTTGATGATACAAAAGAAAACACTTTCTTAATGTGTTGTGAAATATAACATGGTTTGTAATCCTGTGTGTGCTTTTAAAGACAAAACGATCGACTGACTATAGTGTCGTCAGACACCACACGTTGACATGTTTGTCTGAAATGGTGGTCCTTTGCATACTTTGGAAATAGCACTCTGGTGTACTAATCTTTGGGAAAGTCATTTTTATTATTGTTGGCTCCCGTGTTTAGCGTGCAGTGCTCGGCTGACATGCTGTACATTATAGAAAAATGCTTGTGACTCAGCTAACAAAAGCCCAATGAAGTGTCTAAATTAGGAATCTGTTTCTTGTGCCTTTTTTTTGTGCTTTTTTACTTACTACTGCATGCTGTCCTGTCTTACTTGTACACAAGACAGACAGTCCTCTGCAAGGCAAGACCACACTCCATCAGTTTTATATAAGCAGCAATTCCACTTAAAAGAAAATTTACCATTTTCATACCACAAGTAGAAGGCACCAGTCCATCAGAATAGAAGGCAAAAGTCTGTCAGGCTTTAAATTACATTTAAGTATAGATTAATTCTTTTAAAATAGCACGGCTGTTTCTATGCCCTTCTTTTCTTTGCAGTACATTTATTTGGCTGTCAGCCTTTACATGTAGCTATAATAAGGTGCAATTGCAGTGTATGTTTTCATTGTAGACTGAATCATGTGTCTTACATAGCTTCAAATGAATGTTCATCATAATCCTGGTTATAAAACGATCTGAAAAATAAGATAAAGTATCTAACTGCAAGAGACAATGAATAGCTGAAAACAAAATAGTATTAATAACTCTCCGGTACAAAAGTACAAGCTTATTTTGTTACTAATTAATAGGTAACTCTGAGAATTCCTGCGATTTACTGACCGAAATGTCAAACCTGACTGTATACAGGTTTTTAGAAAACGCCAAAGATAGTAAAAGCCATGTGCTATAGCATAAGGAGGGGTTTTTCATTTGATGGAATCAAATTTTGTAGTTTAGAGATCTCGTCATTATATGTGACAATATTAAAATGTATCCATACTAGGTCAATGCCTGTTTTTTTGCAGCTAAATACCCCATATGAGCTTATTCCAGCTGCTGAATGTGAATTCCTGTGAATATTGGGCACTCGAGAATGAGTTTTCTTGAGTTACTGTGAAGAGAGTTGTTGAGGCTCTGAAAGGCACAGCTGCTGCTCACCAGCGGAGTCCTTTCCTTTTGGTAACTCCTCGCAGTTATGAATCCATAACCTGAAGAGGTCTTTTCAGTAGTTTCAGTGCTACTGTGAGCTTTAAAAATCAAATGCAGTTAGCTTATTTCTCTTGAATTCATTTGCTGCCACATTGTAAAACATTCATTTAATTTTGCATGTGTTTAGTCTAAATGCTGTGAAGAATCTTGAGGAATGCCCTCGATTGAGGCTTGTCAGTAAATGCCTAATATCTTACACTTGGTGACTTTCCCAAGATTCCCAAGCATGTCCCAGTTTCATTCCTGTATCAGGATAACTTTGTTCTGATACAGCCCTCAGGAAGGAGGCAGCCATCAAAATCCGTATCACTGGACTCAACAAATGTAGGACAGTCTCCTTTAACAAAAAACAAATTTAGACCGTCGCTTCGGTGGTAGGTGTGAGCAGACCTCTCCCTGTACCCTCCTGTGATCTCTGTGCGCTCTTCAGTAATAAAGAACTGAAACCACCAGCAGGTTGCGTGATGTAGTCCCTTGGGCTGCTGGGCTTCTGTGAGGAGTCCAGTCTTGCATTCAAGTGTTTGCCGTCACATTTCTCTTATCTCCACTTGAACTTCTGTTCTGCTTTCTGAACAGCAGTTGAGGCTTGGGTTTGAATGACTTTTTGCCAGCAAAGTAATACTTTTCACTTTTGGGTTGTTGATACGATATAGATTTTCCAAGCAGAAATTCCTTGCAAGATGAAGCAAAGCAAACAAAACAAAAGTGTCTTTATCTGTTCATACTATACAAACAGTTCAGGAAAAGGAGAAGAAATGACTATTGATGCATCTGTTTTCTCTCTTTACTATAGGTGTGCAGGATCCTCAGCATGAGAAGATAATTACTGTGACTACTAATGGAAGTATTCACAGCCCCAAGTTTCCACACACATACCCACGCAATACTGTACTAGTGTGGAGATTAGTAGCAGTAGACGAAAATGTATGGATACAGCTTACTTTTGATGAAAGATTTGGGCTTGAGGACCCAGAAGATGACATTTGCAAGTAAGTTACTTTTCCTTTAACTCAGAAGAATCTGAAGGGGGGTTTAGGGGGTGGAACAAAAGCGTTGCTTGAGTTTTGCAGAAATGTGACACCTGCATGTCAATATATTTATAAAAATGCATCTTTTAAAGTATTAGTTTATGATTTTCTTTTGCATTGGTAGAGAAGAATTTCATGTTTGAAAGCTTTGGGGTCCCCCCATTTTCCTTCTGCATTCAGTATCTGGGCCACAGATACATTATGATATAAAAATGTGAAATATTTACTCTCTCAAATAAAAACTTTGACACCTGGGAGAGTATTCTTGACAGAATGTTAGAGGAATGAATGTCTAATTTTTACAGAGAAAATTTGGGTAAGCAAGTTACCTGAAGTGGAATTCAGGTCATGACACAAACTACAACATCCCTGTTCAAAAAAACCCAAAAAACCCACCAAACAAAACCCACCCTACGGCACAATGTTTTAATGGCCTTTAGTGGTCAAGTTCTCAGTTTTCTATGAAAAACAGCACTTACAGTATTGCATTAATTGACATTCCTCAATGGTATTATTTTTTCCCCAACTTCAATAAGTATTCTGCCTGCTCAATCACTGGCACAGGTTTCTGTAGGACCTGTGGAATCTGTATTTCCTTCCTATGCTTTGCAGCCAAAGGCTTCGTAGTTTGGGAGAGAAACAACCGTGACATAACAGGCATCAGGATGGATGTAGTTCTGAACCAAGCCATCTGATTGGTCATGTTTTGGATATTTTGTGAGGCAGTAGGGGCGGACATTGTATTTGCTTCCTGTGGGTGGGTGAAAGGGGAGAGTTCCTAAACGCCTGTATCCTGTATCTGTCTGCCATCATAGCAACACATCGTAAAAAAACCCAATGTGTGGACAGTGGTACGTTGTCTGAACTCTTTTCAGTAAATTAACGGATAAAATATGTCATTTGAATAGCATATCCTCTTTTGATGTGTTCCTGGAGAGGTACTTCACATAAGATTTTTCTTTCAAAGTAGGGGGTTTTTTTTTGTTTTTTCTGTTTGGGGTTTTATTTTTGAGTACCTTGTATATACACTTGATTTGAGTCTTGCTTCAGCTTTTCTAATTAACTGATATTCAGGTGTTCTTGTATCTTGAATCAACTTGTGACAACAAATTCTAATTTCTTAGAGATTATTTTTGCACTTATCCTTAATTTGGGAGCTGAGGTTCATAACAGATGGACAGATATCTTTCTTTCATAATTCTGACGGGAGTAATTGTCAAGGCCATGTCAAATAGAATTAAAATACTAAGTACTATAAACATATGTTTGCTCAGATGAGTGCACTCCCTTTGCACAATAATTCTTTTCTTTAAATGAAAACTTAGCTTGCTTTTTCTTTTCTTTGCATATGGCAGAGTGAAGTGGCAAGTGAAAGAAAATCCAGGTAGGGTGACTCATTCGTCCACTTGCAAAGAAAAAAGTAAGATAAGTTAAAGTATTTTTAATATTATAACTAGAGTAATATTTTAATGGGAGTACATTTATTTTAAGTAAACAATGTGATGAATACAAAAGTACTGGTCAAATTAAGAAACAGTAATAAGTCACTCATAATCTTCACTTGGTCGTAATCTTATTGTACTCGCAGTTGTGCAGGGATACCAGGAAGGTGTATGAATGCAACTACTGATATGTGCACTTTTGAGGATACATTGGGTTTTTCTGCTTGGAAGATATGACCTTCTGAAAAAGAATTATATTGTTGTTTTTAACCAAAAGAAAAAACATAGCTAGGGTTCCTATGAAATTTAAATTCAGTAACAAACTCAGTAAAGAAAGAGAAAGTGTACCTTGTTTGATGTGAAGGGAATGTAAATAATTGACAAGTTGAGGAAATAACTAAAACACAGAGTTTAACAATGTAAAACAGTTCTATACAGGCCAAGTAAGTTACCAGTTATCAAAGTAATATCTCTTTATAAGTAATGTCTTGCATTTCTTATCTCTTATAGTTCCTAAAAAAATGACTTAATCTTTTTTCCAGTACCTTCTGTAAAAAAGCTAAGGGTTTTTATTGACTGCATCCCATACTATTTATTACTCCATGGTATTTCTGCCATCTTGAAACACACAAATCAGTATCGTTGCTGTAGAGTACTCAACAGTTTCTCCAGAGGCAAGTTTATATGACAAAGGACGGAATAAAATATGACAAGAAATTTAATGTATTATAACTCTATACCTAACAGTGACCTGATCCTTTAGTTCTGACCTATGACTGAAACTAGGTAAAAGCTGCAGCCAAGTAACGTTAGACTTTCTATGCTACAGTGTACAGTTTGTGCCAGGATATCCTTCTCCCCCTTCTATAGGGTATGAGAGGACCTCATGAGTTATCTGCAGTGGTCATTGCTGCAGTTTTCAGTTCCTCTACCTGCTGCTTAAGCTGCACATTCTGTGCAATGCCAGAGCTTTCTCCATTGTCACTGTAACGCCCTGTAGTGTCAGCTCACTGGGCCGATGAGAGAATATGCTGGAGTATATTAGTTTGAGATAATTTAAATCTCATCATAATTCAAATATTGCTCACACATAGGAAAAAAAAAAAAACAAACCGACAAACCAACATATCCAGCTATGTAAGACTTTTTTGCTTAACGTAGTTCTATAACAGGAAAACAATGGTAGTGGTGAATAAGAAATGTCTGAGATGTATCCTGAAGCTATGGCAAGTTTTTGCCTGTATCTGGCTGACCTGACCTCCACGCTCGCATTTCTCCAAAGTCAGTTCTGACATTTCAAGCTATTCTGTGAGGTCTTTTCATCTAGAATGAATATCATATTTTACAAGTACATTGAGGGTACCAGTCTAGTCTCCACTTTAAATACTTTCCTGAATCTGAATTAGAGTGATCCTGCATGGCTTTTTTTCCATTCTGTTTTTACGTGCAATTCAACTTAGTGTATTTACTAAGGTAAAGCATTTGCATGACAGCAAATTCTATGTTTATGACCAGCCATCCTTACCCAGCCTTACCAGGAACAGCATTAACACGCATAGTCCTAATTGTTGTGCTAATTCTCACCAGTCTTAAACACGATTGCTGTGTTCTGTATGTTTTGGAAACAAAGTTTAAATTATAGGTTTTTTAGAACAAACAACTTCTTTTGCCTGTATTTCTCCAGGTGATTTTTGTCCTGGTTTTACAGTTGTGATGTGCTTGAAATTTCTGCAGTTCATTTCTGCATTGCTTAAAATACAGCTAATGATTTTTTTTACAATAGTTCTACTTCATATGCACTGTATCCTTTCTCTGGGCAAAATGTTAAGAATCCCACTGTGTCCTTTCCAAAGTGAACACAAACTCCAATTTACTTGGAAAATAGATCCATGCATGTATCTTAGAGGGGATTTCGGTTATTTAGTTGATAATACGGATATATGATTCTCTGCAATATTGCAGGAATTTCAGCCTTGTACACCTTGTTTGATTTCAGTTGCTGACTTGCAAAAGAAAAAGGTTATGGACAAAAAAATCCCCCAGCAAACCAAACAAACAAAAAAGGAGAAGGATGCAATCTTCTGGCTCTTCTGTGCCATACTGTTTGGATGATAGAACTGGCAGTGAATTTTCCTTACATAAGGGAATTTCTAGCTAACAGAGGCATAGTGGATTTACATTCGTATGTCCACCCTTTCTGATGAAGAAAAGCAGCTTTTCTTCTGCTGATACGATAGCTGATATGACAGGTCATTATTTTCATGATGCTAGCCCCTCAACGCTGTTTTAATCATGAGGCCATTAAACTTCTGTGCCTGACAGCTCCTGTCATCAGGGAGATGCCATAACTCTCCTTGACCAGGAGGGACTGATTTTTGCTCAATTGTTGCTTGTTATCCAAAATTGTTGCTTTCTGTCTCTGAGAATAGGCAGTGATAAAAGCTTTGGGATAAACTCTTCTGTGACAGGAAGACGCAGGTTTAGCTTTCTTCCAGGAAGAACATGGATGCTACAGTTGCCTTTAACAGGCAGTCTGATGTTGTGAGTAGGTTGGACACTGGAACATTACAACACAAGGCTGCAATAGGAAAAGGAAAAAAAAAAAATCTTATGTTAGGAAAGGGTGCCAAACTTGCTCTCTCCTTGTGCACAGAATGGCTCTAGTTGTTCATCTTAGTGGTGGTTGCAGCTGTTCTTTCTAATCATCAGATGATTACAGTCTGTTTGACTTTTATTATATATAATAAAGCACAGAAATGTGTCACAAATCCAAAGTGCAATTACTGTAGATAAGATTATATGGATAAAATACATGAGTAAAAGAATGTGGAACCAACCAATAGTTGAATAATAGATGCCATTTGACTATCGTCTTCATTTTAGGATAGCTATACTCATTCCTGACTCTCTTCAGTCCTCTAATAATTTGAAGTATAAGCTATAGTCTGTTTTGTGTTGTTTTTTTTTTTTGGGGGGGGGGGGTAAGTTGCATTAACAAGCGACACTTTTCTCACTTCAGAACTATTCAATGAGCTGCTTTTTTTTTTTTTTTTTTGGGGGGGGGGGGCAGAGGGAGGGCTTTTAGCAGCTGCATATGTGAATCTGTTCATATAGTTATATAAGTGAAGCATTTACCTAAAATGTTTTGGAAGAATTCCCAAAGCTTGTCTAGTTAATATGGGCAATATGTAGAACTTTTGCCTGAAGAGAATTAGTTAAGCTGAAGGCAGCTGTCAATTCTAACATGGGGTAAAATCTATGTGAGTAGTACTGTGACCTTTTTTTCCTTTTCACGTCACATTATATACTTAACTCTTAATACCAGGAATGTTCTTCCTCTGAGGGTTCTTAGGATGATGCTTTAAGATACAGAGCCTACCTCCCTTTTCCCTAATGTTTCTGTAAACTACTTGCCTTCACTTCAGATCTGTTGTGACTGAACTGTGCCTAATCTATCCCCTCCCATTCAGGGAACATCAAGTTTCTGTGGTAGAAACCATAATCCAACCAGCTTCAGCA